TTTCCTGAAAGCAAATGAGTATCAAAATGCAACCTTATTTGTCGCAACAGCGGTAGTTTCTCAAAATGACAGCTTCCAGATAAATGCAACTCCCCGAATAATGTGCCAAACATCGGTCATCACACCCTTCAAACAACTCAAAAAGCCCTCCACCATGACCTCACATTTAACTAAATAAGGTAACGTGCTCGAAACAGCTCTCTGTGCGATGCTGTGCACTGGAATCATTAATAAAAAGACACACTTAAAAAGTGCGATCACTCTTTCAAAAGAGAGGAGCAGCAACTGGATATTTGATACAAGTCTTGCATTATATCTCATTGTATGTCATGTAACAGGTCCTAATGATGTTTTTAAGCAAATGTTTGCAGGGAAGATGCTGGGGAGGTGGACCTAAATGACATGGTGAGCATGTGTAGGAGACTGGACTGTCTTGTTAACTGTTATTTATTCCTCCGTAGTGTATTCACAAACCCCCCATAGAATTTATTTTGTGATTTCCTCACTTGATTTTCTGTTCTGGTGGATTATTTTCGCTTTTCTTCGTGTTTTGAAGTTACCGTTAATTTACGTTTTTCGGAGGCGGTCCTTGAATGTCTCTCGAGTCGAAAGACAGAAGAGAAGGCATGGAGACGGAGAAGGACGTGCCTGTATTGGTTGAGATAGTGAAAAGCATTAATAAACTATACGTTCTAAAAATGAACACCACAGCTCTCCTTTTTCGGAGCTGCAACATATTCAAACATGGGAAGTAAAATGTTTTGACAGCACAGTGCAGCAGTGCATCCAGCCGGCTTACACGGCAGCCATTATTGTTCTTCTTCTTATGATTATTGATTTTGACACAAAACCAAATAAAAGAGCTTTAACCTTGCCAACTGTGCTTGCAACTGTACGGTAACCTTTGGATAAGTGTTAACCTTTCACATACTTTGATTAATTGATCATTGCAAACTGATATGTGCCATCAACAACAAAGTGTTCTTAAAAAAAATATGATGGTTTAGTCTCGCGGGGCTTCATTAATAAACCGATTGAGCATTCATCGATTTCATGAGCAGCATTTCTGTTCAGGCGTAGTTTCTCTTTCGGGCTGATGTGATTTTAAATTTCACATTCAATGTAAACAACACAATTGGGGTAGTTTAGAGGTTCGGGTTTTGAAATTCAGCCTTCCTGTGTGGAGTTAGCGTGTTTTCTCCACAATGTCCATAGGTATGAATGTGAATCTAAATAGTAGTCTCTCAGTGTGGTCAAAGTCAGCTGGGATCGGCTCCAGCTCACATTTAATGAGGGCAAGGGTCAAATATGGATCCAAAGAATTGCTCTGATTGTTTTCTATTGTCACTTGTTGCTTGAAACAGTTCATGAGGAATTATCACGCAACAGAGAAAGGACAAGGAGAGCTGGCAGGAGAAAACAAAAATAATGAGAATTGGAACAATATCAAGCAAGTCCAGCCAACTAGGGGAGCAACCAAGTTGTCAAGCTCACGGGATCATAAGACGGATGCTAACATTGTGTAGCGATCAAGAGTTGATGGATCATCTGTAATCCTGCGGAAAGGAAATCTTCCAACATCTGGTTAGATTCCACACTTGAATTCATGTGAGAGACTGTTGATGTGACTGTTGACTTTGTCAACTCGATCATTTTTCTCCTGGCTTCAGCAGTTCCTGCTTGAGGCTTCAGAACAGAGGGCAGCTCTCTTTCACATACTTTGATTAATTGATCATTGCAAACTGATATGTGCCATCAACAACAAAGTGTTCTTAAAAAAAAAAAAGATGGTTTAGTCTCGTGGGGGTTCATTAATAAACCGATTGAGCATTCATCGATTTCATGAGCAGCATTTCTGTTCAGGCGTAGTTTCTCTTTCGGGCTGATGTGATTTTACATTTCACATTCAATGTAAACAACACAATTGGGGTAGTTTAGAGGTTCGGGTTTTGAAATTCAGCCTTCCTGTGTGGAGTTAGCGTGTTTTCTCCACAATGTCCATAGGTATGAATGTGAATCTAAATAGTAGTCTCTCAGTGTGGTCAAAGTCAGCTGGGATCGGCTCCAGCTCACATTTAATGAGGGCAAGGGTCAAATATGGATCCAAAGAATTGCTCTGATTGTTTTCTATTGTCACTTGTTGCTTGAAACAGTTCATGAGGAATTATCACGCAACAGAGAAAGGACAAGGAGAGCTGGCAGGAGAAAACAAAAATAATGAGAATTGGAACAATATCAAGCAAGTCCAGCCAACTAGGGGAGCAACCAAGTTGTCAAGCTCACGGGATCATAAGACGGATGCTAACATTGTGTAGCGATCAAGAGTTGATGGATCATCTGTAATCCTGCGGAAAGGAAATCTTCCAACATCTGGTTAGATTCCACACTTGAATTCATGTGAGAGACTGTTGATGTGACTGTTGACTTTGTCAACTCGATCATTTTTCTCCTGGCTTCAGCAGTTCCTGCTTGAGGCTTCAGAACAGAGGGCAGCTCTGTCTGATTCTCGAGCGATCAAGTCAGGGGTTCCCGAACAAAGTTGTCAAGGTGGCAACACTGGGTCATTTGCTATTTTGTTCTCCTTTTCAGAGCCAACGAAAATTTAAATTTGAAACTAGGGATGAATGATTTTGAAAAATAATCAAATTGCACTAATTCCATTCACTTTTGTGATTTAACCTGCTTGTATTAAAAAAAACACACACAAGCAACACATGAATTTTAATAGATGTATTTTACATAAACCTTATGGTTTTATAGATTAGGCCTATGCTAAAATCAAGGCAAATCAACCATGAACAAATATGAAGGATATCTTATCTATCCACCACAATTAGAGTTGGGAACTAACGAACACTTTGCCTTGGAGTCTTTTAAGTGTTCATTTTGCCAATTTCACCATAATTCTGTGTCGTAAATATAAATCGGTAAATTATGAATCAGATTACAGAAAAAAAAATGCAGGCCAATCTGTGGCTTTATCACTTCAGCTTTTTATGTTTCATGAAACAATATGTATGAATAAATAAAATATACGTACTACTGACCGCCACTCCCCATCCCAAATTGCAACCTTTGCGACTTGAAAATATAATTCCACCACACGCAGATGTTGATTTGAATTAAACTAACTGTTTGGAATCGGACAACGGTTTACAGTAAAGCATTTAGAATCCAACTAAATCCGAGATTTTGTTTCATCAGCAACGTCAACGATGACTTTTGAGCACGTTTGAGGAAAAGCACACCATGATGAACACGAGGGGAGGATTCTGGCTGGCGCTGACATTTCTGTAAACCCAACAGTAGTCGGGACGAGATGGAATATTTTAATCCGGCGGGAGCTCAACTGCCTCAGCGGCGCTCTCATCATATTCCCTCTGGAGAGGGAGCTGCTTAAGATGAGCTCATCGCATCGCTCATCACCTTCATCTTGCCATGAGCTAAGCCTCAGGGCCGCAGGCACATGGCACATGCCCCACCC